CTATTTAAATTTTCACATCCCCAGAAGTTTTGGGTGAGGAGGAGGAGTAGCAACAATCTTTTAGTCTGACTTACTAATTACTCCAAAGTCAGTTAATATTTACATCTCTTTTGAACAGTTAATCCCTAATTTCCCTTATCCAAACTGCAAAGAAGGAAACCTCTTCTCTTCCTCGGTGGGGGGGGGGGGGGGGGGGGGCGGTTGCGGGCGGGTCGGTGTCTGGTGTCCGCTGTCGCATTGTGGGGGCTCTGTTATTAGGGTTGGGAATTGAAAAGATTTTCACGATTCCGATTCCCTTTTCGATTCTATGAAACGATTCGATTCTTAATCGATTCTTTTTTCGATTCCAATTTGGGGGAAAAAGGAGAACAAACAGTTTGATTATCAGAATCAACTTTGTTTACTTAACTATTGCACAATCTTACAAACTCAAAAAGATCAAGATGTCCACAGGAAATGTGAAACTGGAGTAACATCTGTGTTTAAATGAAAAATGAATACAAGAACAAACTTAATAACCAACAATGTCTAATAACAAATGATGGGATAATAACCTATTTTAAATAACAAAAAATACTAATTATAAAACAGTAGTAGGGAAAATTAACAGTTCTTTTGCAGAAAGATGAGCATATCTGCTTTTTCTGGAAGGATACGGGATCTTTCAGCGCTTATGGTGTCTCCAGCCGTGGAGAACACCCTCTCAGATGGGGTGGAGGAAGCCTGCACACAGAGGTAGTTTTCAGCCAGTCCAGATAGCAAGGGCAGCGTATCTTGCTTGTTCCACCACCACAGTGTGGCGCTATCCCTGCAGGGGATGGAGGGCAAGCTTTTATAGAGCTGGATTTCCTGATCTACCCTCTGGGCTAAGGAAAGACGGGGCTTTGATTCACAAAGTGACCGCAGCACGTTGTCTTCCTCCTCGAATAGTTCTTCCAACTTGCGTAACTTGCGTAACTTGCGTAAGTTGCGTAACTTACGTAAAAAACGTGACGTAAGTCGTGCTCCCCAGAGCCGGCGCTCTCGGCTCTGGTGCTGCGGGAATCGAAAAAAGAATCATTCAGCGAGCTGCCAAACGATGCCATGGAATCGAAAAATACGGAACCGGTTCTGAACAGGAACCGGTTTTCGATTCCCATCCCTATCTGTTATAATTGTAATTTGATTTATGTTTCTGTTCTACAGATCCAGTTTCTTCATCAGGCGATAAAACTTATTCTGAAATACGGAGTTGCCAAAGAAGAGAGGCAGGTATGTTAAAAAGGATACTAAATGAAATATAAGCTCGAGTTTGCTATCTCATCTGCAATTGATAATGATAGAAGGAAACTGACTAAACCCCTCTGCGATAAATAAAATCACGTTTTAAGAAAAGCAACAAGACAGACATCTCAAAATGAGCAGCAGTTAGGAAATGACGTAGCAGAAGTGTTTGAATAAATTTCACCATCTTAAACTGCTGAAGTGTTCACCATCCAGTTTCCTGTTTTGCTGAATTAATCACTGCCAGTGTTATTTATTATGTTGTTATTTTTTTTAAATCAAACAATATTGTGTGTTTTAATATGTTTTTAGAAATGTTGACACTTAGAGAGGATAGTCTAGGAGCCAAAAAGAGCAACATTTTTTATCACTGACTTGCTGCAGGTTTCCAGCACCTGAAAGGTGCTGAAAGCCAAACGCCACGACCTTCATCAACCAAAACTTTTTCTTTAAGAGCAGAGACTAAAATGCTTGGAACGAGTCAAACGTTCCCAAACTCCGCCTCCTGAGAGGCAGATGCATTGTTATAGTTCCATTTGATTCCATCCTGCACTAAAGCATTTTGAAATTTCTGCATGGTTCAGCTCAGCCAAACTCTCTTTCTGCTCTTGACTTGCATCGACAAAATTGGTGTCATTATCAAATCTGATGGTAGAAACTTGACCTCTTCTACAGATGAACCTCCGGACTGCATTTATACAGGAATCTGTATTAAAAGTGTATGCAACCTGCAGATATGAAACATGTATAAAGAACTTCATACCTTTTAAGGAAACTTCTTCTAACTCCTATAGGATCAAATTAATCCACCTCCAACCTTTTAAATGGAGCCATGTCTGACAGTACGCTTTCTTTTGGCAGATCTGCTATTTTTTTTCAACAAACTTTCCTCTGTTGCGTCTGCAAAAATACAGCAAGAGACGACTTTTCAAGCAGCTGAATTTCCATTTATTATCCCATAGTTTTCTTTTATTTTTTAACAGCATGTGAGCTCTTCCTGCCACTGTTGAAGAATATGATGTAAAATTAATGTAAATCATCATAATACAGTGTCTCTGCAATACTTGATAATAATTAGGCTTTCATGAATATTGTAGATTAGTTAAGGTTGAAATCTTTGCAAGAAACATGTGCAAAGATTTTGTGTGACAACGAAATAATAAGTTTAAAGAAGGGGTTTGTGCATCATCTCCATAGTACATATGACTATTACACAGATTTTAAAGAACCTCCAAGAAAGAGCACTTCAGGTGCTTTGGTTTGTCTCAGTCCAATGACCTCCTGCCCCTGAAGGTCAACCCCCACTAACAAACACTTCTAAGATGGGAAAAAGAGGGAAGGATCTTTAAAGCTGTAGGGAAGCGGCGGTTCCAACCGTTGCATTTCCGAATTCTCCCGAGTGGTGATAAAAGGGGAGGGATTGTTATGGCGGAAGGTTCGCAAGCTATTTGGTTGTGGCCGGTTTGTCAGAAGCATCTTGCTAACCAGTTAGCAACATAGTGCTAGTAGGTTCCCAATGGGAAATTCCATTGGGACCAAGTAGCACTAAATTGGTGACTTAGAAACGACGCTGTCAAGGAACGCTATGGACAGCGGAAACATGCAAGAGGAGGAGAGTTTAGTGTCGGAGGTCGTGGATGTGTCTCCACCTTCATCCATTTGTTATTTAGAGGAGGAAAGCGGGGACGAAGATGTTGTGGAAGAGGACGCCAGGGCGGCAGTAGAAGGCTTAACCCGGGCGTACACTTTGCGATTTTTTTTAGTTGTGCATGCAGCTGCTGCTCAAACTGTACGTCTAAACCGCAGGATTTAGTCATGTAGTGTGAGCTCACAGCTCACCATTTTTGTTTGGCCTGACGCTCTGATTTGATCTACCTGCTCAAATTGTATGACTAAAAACCACGTCGGACTCAGCTCCACAGTGAGATGGAGCTGCTCCGACTCCTCTATCCAGAAGGCAAAAACAGAGAAGGGGAATATTAAGCGCACTAGAATGAAACGTGCTGCCTTGGCAATTTGTGCAATTTTGTGCTGAAAGTCCTAAGAAGAAAAGGCGACAACGTACACTACTGTTCAAAAGTTTGGGGTCACATTGAAATTTCCTTTTTTTTGAAGGAAAAGCACTGTACTTTTCAATGAAGATACCTTTAAACTAGTCAACTTTAAAGAAATACACTCTATACATTGCTAATGTGGTAAATGACTATTCTAGCTGCAAATGTCTGATTTTTGGTGCAATATCTACATAGGTGTATAGAGGCCCATTTCCAGCAACTATCACTCCAGTGTTCTAATGGTACATTGCTCATTGGCTCAGAAGCAATCATGTTCACACGTCTGAAAACAGTTTAGCTCGTTACAGAAGCTACAAAACTGACCTTCCTTTGAGCAGATTGAGTTTATTTTACAGTCTATTCTTGTTCTTGGACATGAAGGCTATTCCATGTGAGAAATTGCTAAGAAATTTAAGATTTCCTACAACAGTGTGTACTACTCCCTTCAGAGGACAGCACAAACAGGCTCTAACCAGAGTAGAAAAAGAAGTGGGAGGCCGCGTTGCACAACTGAGCAAGATGATAAGTACATTAGAGTCTCTAGTTTAAGAAACAGACGCCTCAAAGATCCCCAACTGGCATCTTCATTAAATAGTACCCGCAGTAGCTTGTTTGACAAGGCTGCCCTCTGGGAGGGTAGTTGTGCTAAACAACTCAGACCTATGATAAAAGAATTAGTATTTTTTATGCTAAATAGTAAAAACACAAACTATATGAAGATACTGTTAAACTAAATGTGTATTTTATGCAAATCTCTCTTTTCTTTTTCAGTTTGTGCCAAATGTTCAGCAGATGCTCCACAGAACAAATCAAACAGGTCAAAGATCCTCCTGCTGAGTATCATTGCTTTACTGGCAGCTGCTGCCATCGCACTTGGACTGAGTGAGTGAAAAAAAATCTATTGATTCGAATGTTTGATTTGAAGAATAAAAAACATTTCAATTTAACCATACATTTTTTTCTTCACTTTTGTATAACCCTTGATTAAATAGAACCCAAACTAACGGTTTATTTCTTCTTCTTTTTTGTTACCAGCTGTTATTATTTTGATCATCAACCCCCCTGCTATTCTGGAAAAGAGAAGAATGAAGCTACACCAGGCATGATTAACAGCAGTGAGATCAACTTTATTTTGAATTAAATCTGAATCCTTTACGTATTAATTTTGCTCCGTCACATATAGATTATATTGTCTGAAGTTGTAATCTTTCTTCAAGTTATGCATTTTTAATCTTTTGAATAGGAAAAAATCAAAGCAGCACATTTCCTCCACCCAAAGTAAAAAGTATTTTGTCTCATTTCTCTCCTATGATGATGTTATAGAGACACTGATGGACTGACAGATACAGGAAGTTAGATTATAGCTACATCTACAGAGATTTTGTCCTCCTGACTCAGTGAGATCTTTGTTCTGATCTGTTTAAAGATTAAATGTGTCTGAAGTGTGAAGCAGGCTGGGAGCTACATGGAGTGAACTGTTATTATTTCTCCAACAATACGTCCACCTGGACTGAGAGCAGAGATTCCTGCATAGGTCAGGGAGGAGACCTGGTGAAGATCGACAGCAGAGAGAAGCAGGTATGAATCACTGCTGCAGCTTCATGTTCTCACAGATTTTATCATCATCATGGTTCTTCATTTCAGCACAGAAAGGTATCTCAGGTTTCTCCATCTCCTACCCAGATGTTCCTGGAGAGGATAGTGAAAGAGAAAATGACAAATGATGAAGATTCGTTCTGGATCGGACTGACGGACTCAGAGAAAGAAGGCAGCTGGGTTTGGGTGGACGGATCTCCACTGAAGGAAAGGTCTTATTGTTCTCAGAACATTTGGTTAATTTTAAAGGTTTAAGTCACTCAGGTTTACTGAACTCTGTCTTTCTCTTCTTCATCTCTTAGTTTGAGTTTTTGGGGAAACAACCAGCCTGATGGTAAGGGTGGAAGACCAGAATCAGAGGTGGACTGTGTGAGAACAAAGAAGAGAGAAAACTCTATCAAGTGGTTTGATAGATATTGTAAAGAAAGACTGAGAAGTATTTGTGAGAAAACAGCAGAAACTCAGATGTGTTTGTGTTTCTGAAGTTTAGTCCAGCAAACAGCCTCTGATCTCTGAACAGAAACACATTTTATCAGAACGATTTAAAATAATTTAAGTTCTTTAACAAAAATAAGAAAAAAACAATAATTTGTTCCAACAGCAGATCTCCTGTAAAAATGTAATAATCAATAAACTTTCGTTTCTTCCCAGACTGATTTTCCTCTTTTCATTAATTATTTCAATAACTATTAAACTTGTAGCTCATTAATTTAGATCATCAACTTCCCCAACTTTCACAAATTGAAGAGTTTAAGGTACAAGAGAAAGATTAAAGAGTTTTTGTTAAAACGGAACTGACCGGTTGATGGATTACGATATCTGCCTAAATCAATAATTAATCAATAAAATTTGCTTTAGATTATTATTTAAAATATGAAGCCCTAACATCATTGAAATAAATAGATTGAGGACTTATTTAATTTAACCATGTGCTACATCAAATTGTTGATATGGTAGGGTGACCAGACGTCCTCTTTTTCCCGGACATGTCCTACTTTTCATACCTAAAAAAAAAGTCCGGGAGGAATTTCAAAATCGTCCAGGATTTTGGTCGACTGCAGTGCAGCACGTAGTCGAAACACACCGGATATTCGAACCGAGCCGTCAGCTCCTGGGCTGGTCTGATGCAGGGAGCCAGTGGGGGACGGAGCGACCGAACCCTGACCCGGTGACGGTAGCCTGGACTCCGACTCCCCGTGCTTCCCCCCCGCCTGCCTTGCCGGCCCCCAGCCCCCCTCCACCAGCTGAGGACGGGCTGATCATGGCTCTCTGCTGAGGTCAGGTCCAGTCAGTGACCCAGCAGTCGACCCTTCAGAAGACTAAAAAATGTCCATTTCTCTGTGCAGCCTGGAACACTGCATTTACACTCATGGTTCTGGACACATTTTCAATAGAGAAACTGCCTGCTTTGTAATTCTAGTAGAAGTAAACCCAACTGTAGGCTAAACAGCTAAACTGGTGTCTTCCATCTACCTCTATTCATGTTCTTGGGCCATGAACCAGTGGGCTGGTCTGTATGTACAGTTCGGGGCGTGACAAAAGTACAGGCCAGAACCAAATAAGGCAACATATCCGAGTTCACGTCAACTTGGGGCTTTGTTTGGATTCGCCCGTTTTATGGTGGAAGTTTAGAATTGGGAGCTTTACAGAGAAAGTAGATGTTGATGGGGTTTGAACTTCTCTTTACGTGCATTTCACCCACTGAAATATCGTTATTCATCTATGACAATGGAAAATCGAGTTTGCATTCTATGAGCCCTTTAAGACTAAAATGCCAAACAACTTATTTCATTCATGTTAATAAAAATTGCTTCTGTTCTCCTTGTGAATCCCTTTGGGTTGAATTAGTTAATTATATGTTCTGCTTTTTTATGACAGGTCTGAAAACCCATCCGAACAAGAAAACTCTGGTCAAGCTAAAAAAGAGGGTTTCAGGTTGCATGAAGCTGAACCTTGGTGCTGGTTGTTCAGTCGGAACGCAAGAGACTAAAGAGAGAAACTGACATCTCTTACACATGTTATTTTAGATATGTTAAAATACTTGGTGTCCTAGATACAATATGTGTTAAAACTTAGGAGCATTCAGTTTGGTAACTAATAGAAACAGGGAAGTAGATTGTTAATAAAGCCTCAGCATCATCTTTTAAACAGGAAGTTCTTTTTTATCTGAAGGTGTGAAATAAGAAGGCGCTGCACAAATTTTTAGTCTAACAGGTCTGCAAAGGGAAGATGATGAGTTGGTGGTGAGTCCAGATAAGTTTCTTTCAAATATACACTTAAAAAACAATGGAGGAGATGTTAAAATGATCTGGTCTTCAAAGTTAAACTGCTGTTTAAACTGCTGTTTCTTTTATTGCACTGATGGATTTTGAACCGCTTTGTTATTTTAATGTCTCCACATAAATGAGGAAAAGTATAATTTTAAAATCTGCTAAAAAGAAGAACTAACAGAAGTTTATTGGGATTCAAACTGAGGTTTATTTCACGATAGATGCTGTACAGGTCTATTGTGTTAAAGAGAAAGCTGAGGGGAAAGAGTTATGACTGAAAGAACAAGATCCAATCAGCTAAAATAAGCCTCCTCTGCTGGGACAAGGCATTCTCTCAGATAGTAAACCCAAATAAGATACTAAACTCAAAAACATGGAGACAATCAGTTACATCCGTTGTTTTAAATTGGTGTACTTAATATCATGTGATCAAAATTAAATTATATGTTCCATTTTAAGATAATTCAAAAATCAAGTACAATTAAAAACTAAAAAAATGCTGTCTTTGTTTGTCAGAGAGTTGTCCTGTTTGAAGTGTCCACATGATGAGACGTCCTCAGAGCTGTGAAGGAGGTAAGGAGATGAATGTGGAGTTAAATAAGGAGAAGAGGCAGAGAGCAAAATGGTACATAAAAAAACAAGGCTGAAAAAAACTGCTTTCTTTTGGCAACATTTAACATCTGAACCGGAAGAAAACAGCTTTACTCATAAATCTCCACTAAAATGCACATGCAAAACCCCTGTATGCCTTTTAAACAAGTGCGAGAGCGTGCATGAGCCCATTTCTCCTCGTGCATGCTCAGTTTAAAAGTCGCTGTTTGAATCGCTCACACAAGCTGACTTTCGAAAAAGAAGATTTGCAATTTTTCTACCATGTCACACTCACCACCAGTAAGTGAAAATGGGGACGAGCACCCAGGACGGCTGTAGGTAAACATATGAGCAGAATGATTCACAATTAGGAGGATGAATTATTTTGATGATCCACCCAGAAAAAGCACATTGTCCACTATACCTTTAATACAAGATGTCCAAATGTAAAAAAAAATTAAAGTAAAGATTCAGATATTTATGCTTTTTAACTGGAAAATTATATAAAAAATCTATAATCTATGTTATTTTCATTATAAAGTATTAAAAGTTAGTGCAGAAGCTATGACTTCAAAAAATGGAAGTGAAATGAAGAAGCCAAACATACATCATGTTTGTTTCTGAATGTTAGATGTAGTTCTTAAAATTAGCTACATAAAAAAGATTCTCATCCTTAAAAGGCCTTTTTTGTCTTTTTATTCGTCGTCTTCTGCTTTAATAAGGACTGTGTCATGGGGCAACAGTCTCAGCAGAGACACCCAGACTTCCTTCTCCCAGACACCTCATCCAGCTCCTCTTGGAGAAGCTAGAGGTGCTCCCAGGCCAGTCAAGAGAGAAACAGTCCCCCCAGTGTGTCCTGGGCCGTCCCCTGGACCGCCTCCTGGTGGGACGTACCTGGCATCCAGGAGGCGTTTGAAAAAAAATGTCCAAGCCACCTCAGCTGACCCTCTCTCTGTGGAATAGAACAGGCTTTACTTCAAGCCTCTCCCTGATGACCAGAGTCCTTATCCTATCTCTTAGGGAGAGCCCAGCCACCATGCAGGGAAATTTATTTCAGCTACTTGTATCCAGATTTTATGACCATAGGTGACGGTAGGAACGTAGACCGACCTGTAAATCAAAAGCTTTGTTTTTTCACTTAGCTCTCTCTTCACCACATCAGGCCGGTGCAGCATCTACATTGTAGATGTTAGAGGAAGGTAAATTCCATTATGGAAGCACAGCATGATCGACATCCATGATGTCATTGTAGACAAACAGGCGTAGATGAAGCATCATCAGAAAAAGAGATGTTGATCTATGGGGAAAATTTGGAGGTAGAGTTGATATCAGATTCAGATGTTGGTTGGATGCTGTGAGTCTGTCTCCAGGTTCTGATCTGGTTCTCCTCTAAATGCTCCTCAGCTGAAGCTGCTGCCTCCCAACATGAAAACCCAACCAGAACCTCCAAGCTGCCATCAGAGAGAGTCGTCATGCTGGTTCTGGGCTCTCTGCTGGCTGCTGCTCTCATCATCATCTACAGACTCTGTGAGTTTAGATTGGTTTCATTCTCCTTTCATTCTATTGTTTAAATTTTTTTTATTTACACAACTGCAGATTTTCATTTGTGTAAAAAGGAAATAACTTGTATTTCTTGAATTAGCTTGTGCTGTTTTGATGACCAATCAAAGGATCCAAACCATGGAGGAGAAGTATGAAGCTCTGAGTGGAAATATCTCAGGTGACAGTGCCGGGATTTGAAGGTCTCATTTAGAACACAGGCCCGTTTTATAAAGCAGGTTTAACAAACTCAGACTCAAACCCTCAACCTAGCCTACAGTTGGAAACTCTGAGTTGTTAGTTTCATAAAGAGTTAGTTCAATCAGCTCTGTGTGTAACAAGTATGAAAAGCCATTATTAGTGGAGCACTGATTCAAGGAGTCACCATGACAACAGCCAACAGGAAGTGCTATTTCACCACACTGGAACTAGAGATGTTAATGCTTAAATAAAAACAAAACAAATGCAGAATGTGTTTAAAAGACAGAGCAACAGCGCTACAGCTGCTAAGGAGAGGAAGATAGTGAAGGAGAAGATTGTTGCTCAAATCTAAGCTTAGGTTTATACTTAGTCTGGTATGGCAGGCTGTTTTTCCTCTCTGGGATCCCCTCTAGGGATCTACAAATGTCCCATTTGTACTGGTAAGAATCAAGTTATATATACCTAGAAATGTGTATACATTTTAACTGGCTGTTTTGACATTTATCAAATTGACTATTACATTGTATTTCTGATTACTGAAATATGTTTCTTTCTGATCAAAATAATACAAATTATGTCCAGTAATAATAGGAATATGGAGATCTGACATCCAGAATGTCAAGAATGTCATTTGTTTTGAATTAGTAATTTTGACCAGGAAGGTCTTGTGAGGTGAAACGGTAGTACTCATAAACATCTGGTGAGCCTTTCCTTATTAACGTTTATTTCTCTGTGAATTCATTCTTATTTTAATAATTAATCTGATCGTCATCAAAAGGATATACTGTCATGATTGGGTTCAGGGTTCTAACCCAAATGCAGAACACAACGGAGGCAGGGTAACCCCCGGCTCACACCGACTCCGGTCTTACCGTTGCGGTGTGGTGGGTGCGGCGCAGCAGTGATTCCAAGTCATTAAAAAAGACGTAAACCTCTCTCACTGGCTGCTGAGCTGTCCGGCTGCGGTTACCGAGACACTCCGGCGCTGCAGAAAATTCAGCAAGAAAGCTATCCTTACTGCGTGCCGAAGC